CCCCAAAACCCCAAAACCCCAAAACCCCAAAACCCCAAAACCCCTTTGTTCGCTATATTAATTGAATCTGATCTAAAGCTTCCTAGTTATCGTTATTTGATAATTATGAAAGGATTCTTAAACTGGAATTAAAAACGAATAGTAAAATAACACAAGGAGTTTAGAGCCTAATGTTATAGTCTAAAACATACAATATTCTCCAATGTCCCACACAAGTTATGTAGGCCTAGGAGAGGAGCTCTGGAGAGGCCAGGGTGGCCTCTAGAGCTACGATAGAAGGTAAGCAGGGAAGGGGAGTAGTAAACTGGGAATTGGAAATTAATGAATCTTTCAGTTTTGGAGAGGCTTGAGCCCCAACCCTCTCTCCTTCAGAAGTCAGGCTATTCTTATTAAAGCTTTCCTGAGTGTCTTTGCCAATTTTTAGTGAGGGAATACCTTTCTCCCTTGGTAACATAACCGTTTCATTGGTATATGAAAATCTTTTGGAAAACAAAAGAAATAGGTTGACAGTAAGCTTCTTGAGGCTAGAGAGGTAAGCAATGAGAGAAGCACTTACATAATAAACAAGTTCAGTATTCTTCCCCCATGAGAGCTAATTTTAAATTCTTTTTCACAACTTGTTAGTATACATTGCAATAAATCCTGGATTTTTAACTTAAAGTCATAATTTGGGTGAGAAGAGGACTGCTTGTCAATCAGCTTGCGTAAAGTTTTTAATCTTCATACCAGCCTTTTCATTGTGATTACGAGTGTTTTGTAATCATCTAGGATTGATTCCTGCTTGCTCATCGACCCTTGTTTGAGAGTAAAAATTAAGACCTGTTTTTCGAGTTCTGACTTGAGAAGTAACTACGAAAAATTCAGAATTAGTCTCCAAAATCTCCAAATAAAATCTGATATAATCTTACCTCAAAAGGCTCATGATGCTGATCGGGATTTTGAGGAGAAGTGAAGAAGCTGATTTGAGAGGTAACTACATTGAACAAGCCTGTCCAATATCAACTGGTAGAGGGTAGTATTTTACTGGAAGCCATTTCAAAAGTTAATTAAATAATTATGATAATTCTGACTCCTCTTTTTCAACCATTTGAAGACAGCTAGGGGTTTTGGGGTTTTGGGGTTTTGGGGTTTTGGGGTTTTGGGG